AGTCAGAGCACTCCTCCTGATTAGCGGGTTCGTCGAAGAAATCATCGTCCAGATCAGAATCAACGGGTTCCATTTCAGCGTCTATTAACACACGATCAACTACTTCCACGGATGGGTTGTACATAACTTGGTCGTYRAGATTCTGCGGCATCCCACTAGATGGTCTGTCCTGGGTATTAGTTAAACTAAACCGCTGGCTAACGCTAATCTTTTCTTTAGAAGTTTTGAACAATGATGAACTGAAGTCGTGGGTCCCGTCCCCGACATACACGTAATATTCGAAGCAATCCTTGCTGAGATTAAGATGAGTGAGTAGCTTCGGTGACGTGATAACGCCGGATTTTTGTCATGCTTGGCACTGTAAAAAACGGGACGTTGGTTCTTCCGATCTCTTGAGCCGTAACAGTTTTGACAGAATACCTTTAGCTTAGGGGGGGGGCATGATAAAGAACAAAACTAAGTTCCAAGTTCCAAGCAGATGATGAGTTTTCTCATGCTTTGGRAGTAAAATTATGCTGGTTTTCCGAAACATGTTCTGGATATATGACGTTGTGCGGGGATTTTGTAAACTATTATCCAATCACGAAAGACTAAGGGTTGACCCTGAAACTTCGATGGTGTCAACCGCGTGAAACGCGCAGTACCATAGATCCGGTTTGTGTGACGCAGGGCCACCAGTACTGCTACTAGTAGCAGCAGATGCCTGAGACAGACCTGAGATGCTTGGTTGAAATGCAATCACCCCCTTCTTGTTTTGATTGTAAAACAACAATTGTAAAACAACAATTGAAATTACGTTAATGATTGAGGCATTGGGATTGTTAACTCAACATTCCGAATGTTACTATGTAGAAATGAGTACAGGTAGTGCGGTTTTTAGTATTTTGTGAGACTCGTTTCCGACCGCTTTTCGATTCAAGAAGTTCGGATGATACGCTATTACTTCTTGTCGATTAAAGTCTGCAAGTTCTGTAACCGTTGCCCCTAGATTGCCATTTACTCAACCGCAAAACTTAAACAAGTATCCTTAGCCTTGTGTAATCGCGGCAACCATGAAGCCTTTTTCCTCGCTAACCAAACGAGTGATAACTTATACTGCGTTTCACTACATTTCCTCACTTCGAAGGCCGTCCGCTGTTTCAGCATTGATTGTACCCGCAACAAGAAAGTTCTCGTCCTCCTATGCTTTCCAAAATTCTAATTATAAGCAGCAACCACGGCAGCAATTTGGACAGTACACCAGTTGTCCGATTTACAGTAGCCCCGTCGTTGATCCAGGTGCTGAAATTAAAGCTAAGCAGAATGAAGAAGAACAATTGATTCAAGATATGCTCTATCGGATACGAGAGTGCAACAAAACGCCTGAAGATCTTCAGTCTCGGATCGTTGATTTCCAGGTCGATGGTTGTGTTCTGGGAAAAGTAGACACCAAGGTGGCAGATATTTTGTGTTCGAAGAAAACAACGGTCGGTGTTTCCGCCTTTGAAATAGCTACGGTTGACGGTAAAACGTGCCTAACTTTGTCGGAGGAAGGTGCTGGCACCACAGTGGAGTCACGAACCCAAGCAGTCGGGGATGTCATGGAAGAACTCAAACGAATCGGAATTGTAACGGGGTGGAGAGACGAGCTTTATCCAATATCAGATTCCTTTTACAATCCCCCCGTTTTCTTGATGGAACGAGCGGCCACCGACCTCATGGGGGTCTTGGGATACGGGGTTCATGTTAATGGAATCCTTCGAAGTGATGGCGTCAGCAGCAACACGCCAAAGATGTGGATGGCCCGGCGGTCCAAAACCAAGTCGAAGTACCCTGGTATGCTAGACCACATTGTCGCTGGTGGTCAACCGGCGGGGCTTGGCCTGATGGAAAACGTCATCAAGGAATGCGAGGAGGAAGCTGGCATGCCTCCAGAACTGTTTGATCGGCCCGATGTCGATATCCGACCGGCCGGTGTTGTTAGCTATGAGGAAACTATACGGTGTGAGATCGATGACGAGAACAACGATACAATCAATGGCACCGGGGAGGATTCTAACTATTTCTACACTATTTCACGGGTCGTCCTTTTCAACTATGACTTGGTCCTCCCGCACGACTTTTCTCCAAAGCCCTTGGATGGAGAGGTCGATGACTTTTTCTTGTGGGACATAGACCAGATCAAGGAGAGCATGGCACCAGACTTCGAGGATCCCATTAAACCCAATTGCTACCTTGTCATTATTGATTATCTCATGCGCATGGGATTTGTCTCTCCGGAAACAAAGGGATACCTGGATGTCCTGAAAGAACTCAAGAGTGGAGATTGCCAATGATGAGAAATGATACGAAATATAGGAAAGAACTACTCGTACTCTTACGAACGTCTATTTTTTAGAATAATTTGTGTTCCACAATTTGATTGAGGTGCAAGGCAAAGACCATACTTCGTGCTCTGTTGTCGACCGTCACGACCAGACTAGCCCAATCCACAACAGGGGCTGTGTATCAAATTCATATCAAGGAGCAACCTGTTGTTCGAATACTACAAAATGTTAATCCAAATACAATGAATGTTGTTCGTCATGAGAGGCATCTGTTTTTCTCAAGTAYCTTTTCAAAGCCGTTGCTCCATTTGTGTGTGAATTATTTCCACATGCTAATTTTAGTGCACTTATGCAATTCTAAAAAAGTGATGCTAAGCGCATCGGCTGATAGATGATTGTTCCAATAAAAAAAAGTTATTCCTAGGCGGTGTTTTATCATTGTGGGATAAGGTCATGGTCACAAATTCGGGGCAGGATTACCTCACACGCAATAGTTCCTTTCGTGTCCTCAAAGCCTCGGACAGTTGAATGCTTATTCCCCTTCTGCGTCTCCCTTGTCAACAACTTCGGAGTCGGCCTGGTCACTCGTCCACAGAGTGAGGTTGTCGCGAAGGAGCTGCATGATAAGAGTGGAGTCCTTGTAGGATTCTTCGTTAAGAGTATCGAGCTCGGCGATGGCGTCGTCGAAAGCTTGCTTGGCGATCGAGCAGGCCTTGTCGGGCGCGTTGAGGATCTCGTAGTAGAAGACAGAGAAGTTAAGTGCCAATCCGAGACGGATAGGATGCGTAGGAGGAAGGTCGGATTGGGCAATTCCGCTGGCGGCTTGGTAGGCATCCAAGGCGGCTCCAGCAGATTCCTTTCTTGTGTCTCCTGTTTGGAATTCGGAGAGGTATCGGTGGTAATCTCCCTTCATCTTGTAGTAGAAAACTTTGGCTTCCTCCGACGTCGAGTTGGGGATCAATGATTCTTCAATGATTCCAAGGATGTCGTTGCAGATTTCAACAAGCTCGCTCTCGATCTTGGCCTTGTAGTCCTTGATGATTTCCATCTTGTCGCTATCGCCCTTTTGTTCGATGCTCGTAACAACACGCCACGATGCACGTCGGGATCCGATAACATTCTTGTAAGCAACGCTCAACAAGTTGCGTTCCTCGACGGTAAGTTCCTGGGGTTGCTTGGCAACCTCCTTCCTGTGAGAGTAGAGAATAAAGATGGGACATCAAGAGAGCAAGGGTCAGACTCGTCGTCTCCATGATTGCCAWCGGATCGTCACTAACACGAATCACTCAACAAACGATTCCCAAGGCATTCGCCAAGATCTGCCAACATCAATCCTGGCAACCACGAATAGAACGTACATGTCTTGAACCATTTCATCGAATCGTTCGGCTTGCTCGGCGAGCTTTGCCTTGTATACTAGAGAATCGCGATCCATTTTGATTGTTTTTGTTGTTATTTCTTATTTCAAGATAATGAGCGAACACAATTACCATGTATTGAAATGACCTCCCAGCTGCCAAGAGTTAAAAGAGAACAGAGGTGAAACCATTTCAGAGAGCCAGTTGAACCTTCCAGTACTTTCATCATGCCGGCCGCCGTACGACGGACGTTGAGGAAGAGAGCCGTGATGAGCAGCATGTCAAAAGGGTCATAATCCTACCGGTACGTACTCGTACCGTAGAGCGGGATTTTGGCGTACTATACTTGTACGCTTTGGTTCGTTGTTCGCACACGCGACCTTTGGTATGGTGGAACAATTATTGGCCAACAGCACCTGCTTTTGAAAAAACTAGAAGTGCTTGTGTCATCGTGCGGCCTGTACATTCACACGTCGTCTTTGGAAGGAGCGAGCCCTGTCGGTCTTACTGCGATACTGTACCGTACTGCGTCGTAGATTGTAGGGGACGCTCTCGTAACTTCCGTCTTGTCGTCGCTTTTCGTTGCGTTACGTACATCCTGTACTGTAACTTGCACCTGCACCGCCCGAAGACCTCGCATGGCTGGTTTACCGTTGAAACAGGAGATAGCAGTACAGTACGTAATTATGTAGCGAGCCCGTCCAATTAGAATCCTTTCTTCTTTCTCAACCCTTGATCGATCCTTTGCTATCGATATGACTGACTGACTACTGACTGACTCAAAACTCACGACCCATGAAATATATATCTACGGAACCAGTAGGTAGTTGAGTACTGCAGTTAGGACGTACTAGGTGCTTCTACCGTAGAAGTTCTTGCAAGAGACATCTCTCGTTGATTGAATTCGATCGAGCAAGTCGGTTGTATTATCTCTTGTAGTCGATCGAACGAGTCGCCTCAGGTTTCACGCGGAATATCATTTTGATGAAAAACATGCGAAATCGTCATCGTTCGTGATACCGAAGGACGGAATCGGCTCACGCGCCCCTAAGGAGTCGACGAAGAAACATAAACATTGTCGGCAGCACTGACATGTCAAAAACCACTATCCACCAACGGTAGAATAGTATCTGCATTTTCTCACGTTTCTCGAGCACAGCGCCAAGAGTAGTCCAACGCAACAGCGACAGCAACCATGGCCTCAGTTCTTTCCTATCATATCATAGTGTTGGTAATTGCAGTCACTTTTTCGATGCAAGATTCTGCTGCCTTCGTCAGCCCTGGATCAAAGACAATAATAAAGAACAATCCGCTTGTAGTAGTGCACGCGAGCGATTGGTCTGATTTCGGTGTTCTAGACGACGATGATGACGATATCCTGGTCGACCGCCGAGAGTATGCCAAAGAGGAAGACGACCAAGAAGTGAAAGCCCAGGTCGGTGCCAGCCTCGACCCCCCCTCGATCGACGACGAAAGCGCACTCTACGATCCTCTTTTTGTTCCCGCCGGATCCCAGCTCGAGCTCGATGAGGAGACGGTTTTGAGACTCATGCAGGCGTGTCGGCAGGAAATTGGGACCCTCTTTGGATACACGGCCGAAAACAGAGGCGTGGGCATCACGGGTGGTGTCGACTACGTGGAACTCGATGGACCCGTTGTGGTGCTCCGGTTGAAGGGTCGCTTCTGGCACGAGCGAACAACTGTGTTGTCCCGTGTCGCAAACTATTTGCAGCAACGGATTCCTGAAATCATCGATGTGACAGTAGAAGACGAATGGCAGCTGTCGCAAGAAGCGAATGAAGCATTCTAATGAAACCGATACCTATTGTCAATAACTGGATCCACAATTCCTTGAGAAACCTGAATCCATCGGATTTTTTATACTCTAAAAATACTTTCTTTGTGTTCAGTCTGCCTGAAAAGGAAATTCAGTAGAAAGTCTAGAAAAAATTGAGAATGGATGTCTGTGATCGCTATGTCGTTGTTTGTACGCCTTCTCAGCCTTAAGATTCAAGGGATATCATTTGGTATCTTCTTTTCAATATCATTCAGACTCTGGTGGGTTGTCACTAAACTCTAGATCTTATTCAAAAATCAAGGTATTGTTAAGCTTTACAGACGTAAAAATATGTCCTACTTTAAGACGAGCTGTGCCTTGCGCAGTAATAGGCCGGTCGTTGATATCTTTGATTACCTGTGAAGATCACCAACTTACTGTGCAACACTAGAGAATGCTAGGATGCATGATTGCAGCCAAACAAAGGTCTCAGTGATCATTAAAAAAGCGCAATCCTTTCCCAATCTATATTCTAATAATCTATTTGGCGTGTTCCTTAGTGTACTTCTTGGCAGTCTTTTCGAAATCCTTTGGTTTCTCTCGCAGCTGTTGTGCAATGGTCTCTTCGAGAGGGTGATCCGCCTCGGGCGACTGCATCATGCTGTAAATGACCGCGAGGCAGTGCCTAGCGTTGAGTGTTGGCCCCCATGGCCCCATTACGTCGGCACAAACGTCTCCAGCATCCAGTGTGACCGATGGGTGGTAAATCTTGGTCAGGAACGTCAAAGTGGGGGCTTTGAAGGGATACTGCTCTGGAAACGAGATGCGAAGAACAAATTTCCCGCCAGCATACGGAGAATCGGCCGGCCCCTTGATGGTGCAGTCCCAGACGAACATATCTTCATTCGCCAGGCTAATCTCCTCGATGTATTCAAGAGGTTTCTTCTCCAGCATTGCGCGTTCCTTTCGTTATGGTTGTCACGTAATTAATTTTTCCGTCATTCGGATGTCGGAGGCAATGGCGAAAGGAACGGAAAGGAAAGGAGAGGAAACATGAGTAAAGGAATGCAACGAAGGGCAAGAGACAAGGGTTCGCAACTGGTAGATGCTCGAATGGCAGGTGATATGCAGGTCGTAGAACACAGTTATGTTTTGACAACGCGGTTCTGTACAAAATAAGACGAAAGCCATCACCATCCAAGAAACAAATCATTCGGAACGTCTATAATTTGCGATATTGGTGCCACGACGAAGAAAAGAGACCATGATCGAATGGATGGAACGGCACGGCATTTGAAATCGTTGTTCGTTATTTCTTACCTTTAATAATCGTTTCGACATGGTTCGGCAAAGATAAAAATACTGTTGCGTACGGGTGGCTTATTATGAACGATGTTGTGCTGGGCTTGGTTGCTTTCGTCGATTTATTGGCTTTGTCGTTAGTTTTCCTCTTGAACAGTGGGACAGATGGTTAATGTTACAATTTGGCTTCAGTGTTTCCTTCGATATTTTGGGTGCATAGATCGGTTCGTGTATTACGTACGAGTAAACTACGTTCCGCAACGTATCGTGTGGAGTTTTCGATACTCTAAGGCTCTAAACGCGAAAAACACGATCCACTGTGTCCAATCAGAACTGAAAGAGAACAGTCGAGTCAATCGCTGGTAGCTGTTTATTACAGTAATTCGTAGTAGTACCAGTACCTTACGGTAGCGTAGATCTCACGTAACAGATATTCGTGGTGGAACCTTGTACAGTACTCGGATTATTTACGCAACGTACGTTGGTACTTTTGATGATCGTTCGAAATCCAGTACAGTACAGTACAGTACAGTACAGTA